TATAGGAGTGGCGTATCAAGAATGTTTCGTTTAAATCACTCCATTCGTCAACATGTTATACTCCAGTGGAATTCCTTAGGAAGTATTGCATTTAGTGTGCAACGCTGCATGCAGACTGCGAAGTTGTCCCCTTTTATCAGCTCTGCTCAGGGAGCAGGGACAGGGCCCTTACAGAAAGGGCTCCGATCGCTAAGTGGAGTAGATATAAAACCAGATTAGTATTAGACATATTAACTCTTTGTATCAATCCAGATACAACTCTCTCTGTACTCCAGATACAACTCTCTCTGTACTCCAGATACAACTCCCTCAAACTCTATACTCTCGACCCAGAACTAATACGTCTGACCGTAATAAAACAGAGTTCATATTCAACTAAACTATATTTGAGTATAGGGTACAGATAAAGATTAAAACTGACCTATAATATGGTCAGGTGGTTGTAACGTAATATATATATATTTAGGTTCAGGTTTCCAAGATATGGAGGTTATTACTTTATTTATTACATGCTTGTGCAATGAATCTGAGTAAGGCATTTGATCTTGTGTCATGGGAAGTACTCTTCTTATAGTTATTGAGAGGGGTGTTTCACCTCTGGCATCAAGGTGTTTAATTACTCAAATCCAAAATGTAATGTTAGATGGGGTAATGCGTTCTCAAATACCTTCAATGTACAAAATGGAGTCAGATAAGAAGTAGTTTCTTCCCCTGTGCTATTCTGTATATATATTGACAAAGTTATCAAGATATTACGATGTTCAACGATCGGATGCCAAATCCAGGGTGTCTATATGCAGATGATATTATTCTGCTTTCTCCTAGCAGAACAGGTCTTCAGGAAATGGTGAAAATTTGTGAAAATTTTGCTAAAGCTACTAAACTGAAATTTAGTACAAATATTCGAATCGAAAAATGTAAAACTAAATGCCTTATTTTTTCTAAAGAAAGGGTTAACAATAATGAAATAACCCCCAATTTTATTGAGTGACTACCTTTACCATTTGTTAACGACTTAAAACATTTAGGAAATGTTCTGCAAAGTGATAATTCAATGACCATAGATTGCAATAAAAAACGAGCTATTTTCATTTCAAAAATTCATTCTCTTAACCAAGAATTTTATTTTAACAGTCCTGATGTTATTTTGAAACTGTATAATATTTATTGTTGTAGTTTTTATGGGTTAGTATTTGGGACTTGAGTTCCCAATGTGTTTCAAAATTGTATACAGCATGAAATACTGCTATTAGAATTCTTTTTAATGTGCCTAGAGATACGCATAACATAGGTATTTGATTGAAAGTATTTCACAATGTTTACATGTAAAAGCTATGTTAGCCAGTAGATTCCATTGCAACTGATTTTTTTGTAAATCAATCTGAGCTGAAAACTTTAGAATGGTGGATATCGGGATTAAGGCTTAATCCACTCTTTTTCTTAATCTCGAGATTAAATATCGCTTGTTCTTCTCTCATTTTTAATCTCCAGATTAATTATCCGATCAGGATTAAGGATATCCCATTCTAAAGTTTTCAGCTCTGATCTTAGTAAAATGTTAGTTAAGAAACAAATATATTATTTTGATGTCCCATTGGACCATGCATGGTAAGTTCCGATTTTACAATAACTATTAAATACATCAATATATGATTTATACGTAATCAATAATCATCAAGATTCGATGATTACGTAATAACTGATATGATAAATAATAAATATGTTGTGTAATGAGTAATGACCAGTGTCGCCTATTTCTGCATAATTTTGCATATTTTTTTCAGGGACTTGAAAGGCATAGCTTGGACAAAAAATAGCGTTTACTATGGTTCAGTGAATAGATTAAAAAGGATTGAAGAGGACGGATATACGGAAAGGATTAAAAGGACAGATATAATGGAAAGGATTGAAGAGGACGGATATATATGGAAAGGATTGAAAAGGACTTTTAGATTGAAAGGATTGAAAAGGACGGATATATGGAAAGGATTGAAGAGGACGGATGTATGGAAAGGATTAAAAGGACGGATATATGGAAAGGATTGAAGAGGACGAGAACGGATATATTGAAAGCATGAAAAATGAGAGCGGTGTTAAGAAAGTTTATGATAAGAAAGGAATAAGTTTCTGTTAAATTAAGAATATGGGGAAGTTTGCAGAATGTATCTATACCTCCATTTTGATTATTTAAATATTAATCTAAGATAACCGTTACGCCTAAGCTTTAACATTTACTATAGGAAAGCCGCGTTGCAAGACAAATCGGTTTTTTGCAGTTCAGTTTCAATATAAAAACATACTTTTCATTTTAAACTTTCCAAAACTTGACTCGTGTTTTTATTGCTTTGAAAATTACAGTTTGAAAGTTAAAGAAATTCTAGATTTTCCTTAAGTTACAAAAAATAGCAATTATTATGTAGTTTTAAACCCATATAAATTATCGAAATTTCTGACGTTTGGAACCCAGGTTTGGAACCCAGGTTTGGAACCCAGGTTTGCTTGGAAACTAAAATATACTCAATTTAGATTTTTAAACCGAGAAAAGATCATTTCCGTGGCTCTATCAAGTTCGGCCCAATCAAAATTTGATACAAATCGGTCATGGGGTTCCTGAGTTATGATCTGAAACTTACAGACAGACACCCAGACAGAAATTACTACTATATATACTAGCTTGGGAACCCAGCGCTGACCAGGGTGCTAAAAGTTACTCGACCGTTTACTCGCACTTGAACAATTTGACAGGAAAACTAAATTTTCGGTATTAAAGTCGACCTACTCAAATAAAAATCTCAAAACCCAGCTAACAGCATTCCCGTGGGTCTTCCGAGTTCCCCAATCAGGCAAATCGGTCCAAGATTTCCTGAGAAAAACAAACAGAGATTACAACTTTATAAATACACTAGCTGAAGAGCTAGGCGTTACCCTTGGAAAAAATAAAAAACTCCATTTAGCCCATTCATTTTATATAAATACTAGCTGAAGGCTCCGGCGTTTTTTAGCCTAATACACTCCATTGGCTACCCATAAGTGTCCCGAAAAAATGTCAGCCCATTCGGTCCAGCCGTTTGGCCGGCTATACGCAACGTATATAAGAATGACGAATGTTTTGTTTTATTTTATATATATATGTATACCAGGAAATCTGACATGACGCTATTTTTGAATATATTCGTTATAAAATAAAACAAAAGGAAGGATGTAAGGATTATACGGTAGATAACTAGAAAGGGAGGAAGGAAGAGAGTAGGGGGAGGGAGGGAAGAATTGCTGGAATAACACTACTAGACTAGTCTATATCCTATTGGTCTTGAAAACATGAGACATGACTTGACATCTAATTAGTTTTACATTTACCGGATTCTGACAAAAAACCTAAATCTTCCCTTGAAATACAATTCTCCCTACTAAGCTCAGTAGTGTTTGAAAAGAAACTCTTAAAGGAATTGAGTCTTTTTCACTAACTCAAATTTTCTTATCCCTATATTTTTGCAACCTGATGGTGTAAAACTTTGATATTTCAAACTTTTAGTATTTGATCAAACAGAACTCATAGTTTGAAATATCTAAGGTTTACGACATTGGGTTGCAAAGATAAAGGGATTAAAAAATCAGGGTTTGTAGCAAAGAATCAATTCCTTTTATAGTATAGTATCGATCCTACCGAAAGGATTTCGAAATGCCGAGCACTTTGTTCGAAATTATGAACAGGAATGATAGGGATCACGCACAAAGGAATTTCAGTTCTTTCCACAAACAATGATTTTCTAATCCCTATATCTTTTCAACCCGATATCGTAGACCTTTCATATTTCAAACTATAAAATCTGTTAGACCAAATAATCTAAGTTTAAAATATCAAAGGTTTACACCATCAGTTTTCAAAGATATATCCAAAAACCCTAGATTACCGATATTTATTTCGAATTAGTTTCTGTAAATTCAATATTATGAAAATATTTTAAGTTAATTTTCCTCATGTACTGTGTCTATAAACACTTGAATTTGTTTAGATAAATTCCTGATAAATAACTTTGTTGGCTTCAATATGGACTATATAGGGCGGGATCCTTCCTACTATTTGAATTCAATATGGACTATATAGGGTGGGATCCTTCCTACTATTTGGCTTCAATATGGACTATATAGGGCGGGATTCATCCTGCTATTTGAATTCAATATGGACTATATAGGGCGGGATTCATCCTGCTATTTGAATTCAATATGGACTATATAGGGCGGGATTCATCCTGCTACTTGAATTCAATATGGACTATATAGGGCGGGATTCATCCTGCTATTTGAATTCAATAGCGTTTTGGTTTTAAACTTTTATACTTTTTTCATTACAAACGTATATACCGACAAAGGAATTGAGTAGTTGCCACAAACTTAAATGTTCTAATCCCTATATCTTTGCAACATTATGGTGTTAACCTTTGATATTTCAAACTTAAATTATTTGATCCAACAGAACTCATAGTTTAAAATATTCTACGACATTTGTTTGTGAAGATATAAGGATCAGAAAATTTGGGTTTGTGGCAAAGACTCAATTTCTTTGTGTATAAGAGAAAAGCAGGAGAAAAGGAGTCAAAGGAATTGAGTCTTTGGAACAAAATCAAATATTTAAATTTCAATATCATTAGAACCCGATGTTTTAAGCTTTTGATATTTCAAACTCAGATTATTTGATCTAACAGAATTCATAGTTTGAAATATCTAAGTTCTGCAACATTTGGTTCCAAAGACATAGTGATTAGAAAATCAGAGTATGTGGCAAAGACTCAATGCCTTTATGTTTAATTATATGTTAAACTGTGATCTAAAGTCACAGCGCGCTTGCTCGGATAGAACCAGACTTTTAAATACGATTTTATCCAATTAAGACAATGTTATGGTTTTAGATAATGACAGTTTAATGTTTTAGGAGGGTTGAGGTTTAGATATTAATATCGATATGATGAGTCGAGGAGGGATCTTATATTTTTTTCAGTTTCCTGTATGTTTCTTCAAAAGAACCATTGCGCAAATACAAATTTGTCGGAAACCCATAATAATATTACCAGTAACTCTAGCAGTTTAAATAGCAGTTTTAACAACAGTAACAACAGAAGTATCTTCATCAGTGATAGAAACAGAAATAGTCTTAGCAGTTTCTTCATCAGTGACAGTAACAGAAATAGTCTCAAATATGAAAATATTAAAGAAGAGATTGCAGATTTGCAAAAAGATTTTGCAACAGTGAAAAGTATTCTCGTTGAAACTATAGACAAGGAGAAGGAAACCGTGATAGAGCTAAGAGAGTTGGGTGAGTTGAGGAGAGAACTGAACCAGCTCCGGAGGGAAATAGCCAGGAACAAGGAGAAGGACGGGACGGAGAACATGAAGGTTGAGGAGAACTGGATCCGTGAGAGTATTGTTGAACTCCGGAGAGAGCTGACGGAGGTTGAAAGTAAGGTTGAAGAGCAGGGTTCGTGTTCTCCAGATCCGTCCTTACTTCTCAGGATAGGACAAATTGAAAAGGTAAATATACCTAATCTAGTTGATAATCATGATACATTGTATAGAGATAAAAACAAAGATTATGGTTGATATTATATTGCCTAAAGAAACTAAACACTCGCAACAAACTCTGTTCTTCTAGTCCTTATATCCTTGCAACCTGATAATGAAAACCTTTGATATTTAATACTTGACCTATAAGATTTAAATTCATAGTATCAAAGTTTTACGTGTTCAGGGTGCAAAGATTTAGAGATTAGAAAATTCGAATTTGTAGAAAGTGTTTAGTTCCTTTGTTTTCTTTAAGATATTACACAGTGTTAAACAATATGAAAATATGAGATGATTCAAGGGGTAGAAGATGGTTAATACCTGCAGGGAAAATATACTGAGAATGAGTAGATTTAAAGTACAAAAGTTTTCAACTCTATATAGGTAATATTTAGGTAATTTCGTGGATTTTGTAAATATTTTCCATACATTGTATTACACATTATGATAATACGAGGTATTAAACTTTAGATTAAGCACCCAAATATGTTAAAACCGCCCCGGACTAACCAAATATATTCAAAACACCCCGGACTAACCAATTATGTTTAGAACACCCCGGACTAACCAAATATGTTCAGAACACCCCGGACTAACCAAATATGTTCAAAACACCCCGAAATAACCAAATATGTTCAGAACACCCCGGATATATATGTTGATATATATGACGCAGAACTTGTAATTACGTCAATCAACTTAATCTGTAACTTAGAAATATAAAAATACCACTCCGCTTGTTTTACCGTGTCAGAGTAAATATATCCTTGCCAACCTTAACGAGAGGGATTGAGTATCTGGTACGTTCTTATACAAAAGAATACAGATAAAGTTGTGTCCGGATTGACATTAATATTAAAGTATTGTGGAACTGATTATTTCTTTTGCCTCGTAGACTTACGAATATTAGTATAAAATTTTTTAATGATTAATGGGGTAACTTACTTTTTGGGTGTGTCTGTGGTAATTAAGGAGTGATTTTGGATTGAAGGATATGATGTGGTCAGTTTAAAACCTGTGGATATTACTTCTGAAAACACGCACCTCTGACCCTTCAGTAAAAGTAAATTCAACCTAAAGTCTGACCGCGTCAACCTTGTTGCACCGGCTAGTCCTATTGAGTGTTTGCTTTAATTACCCAATGTCAGGGCGATACAGTACAAACTGGGACCGGAAAGGTTGACCCGGCTCGGAAATTCAAATGTACTACAACTGCCCGTGAAAATAAAACCCCGGTTGATTAATTGTTAAATTGCTATGGATTGCAGAATTATTCACGGATTGTAGGATTTAAGTATTCACTAGTTAAACGCGTTTTACTATTAATGTTTTCCTTTGTAATGCCGGAATATATTCTCTGATCTTAGACTGCTCCGAAACAAGAAGGGTAAGAAAAGACGACATTACGCTTGATAAAATTGGGAGGCAGATTTATGTGTAACAACTAGAGCTGAATACAAATATAAGCTCTGAAGCTTCCAAGATTTTATAGACACAATACATTTCATTTATGGAAACCTTAGAAATCCTAGTTTCACATCTAATACTTTATCTTTAGTATGTAGTAAGGAAAGAATAAACTTTCAATTCTAAACAACAAAAGCAAACACAGATACAAACCCGTTAAATCCGCAAAATCTTTGATTCTTAAAACCATAAAAAAAACAGTATAAGTAGAAATACCAATAACTTTGGTGACCAAAATTTTAGAAAACCAGTTCGGTTCCAAAAAAAATTGAGTCTTTTCCACAAACAATGAATTGCTTGACCCTTCATTATTGCAACTATAAGTGGTAGACTTTAGATATTTCAAACTATAATATTTGATAAATTAAATAATCTAAGTTTGAAATTTCAAAGAATTACACCATCAGGTTAGACAAATATAGGAATAAGAAAATGTCAGGTTTTTGCAAAGACTTCCTTTGACGCTGAACTGTTAGAGCCTTATTTTTAAACCCATAAACAATAGACATTAAACGTTTGAATACCAACTTTAACCAAAAACAATAAATTGCTTTTTATTTAAATCTAAATTTTGAAGAGCCCTTTGGTGAACTTTAAATGTTAGCGACTCTACAAATTTTACTCTTAACTATAATTTTCTAATCATCTTTGCAACCTGAACTTGAAGACTACTGTAAATTCTCAAGATCACATAATTATAGTTTGAAATATCAAAGGTTTACATCATCAGGTTTCACAGATAAAGTACTCAATGATTTTATGCTAACAACATTTTTTGTTCGTTAATCTTTAAATAGGATTCAAAGAAACTGTGTCTTTCCCCAAATGTGCTAATCCTTACATCAATGCGACCTAAAGGCTTAAAAATTTGATTTTTTAAAATTAAAATTTGGATCCAATATAATTCATATTTTGAAATATAACATGGTCTACGACATTCTTGGATTGCAAGATAATAGAGATTAGAAAATTTATGTTAGTGGCAAAAACATATTTTTATTAATTTTTAGGAGATGATGAAAGGTATGAAGAGGGAGGGGAAGAAAGTGTTGAAGGAGAAGGAGAGAGCTCTCACCAAGAAGACAGTTAAAGAGTTTATGCAGTACACTGACTCATCAATACAAAATCTAGAACAAGATTTAGAAAATGTGAAGGTTGGAACGTTTTATTTATAATATAGAAAAATAGATCTTGTTTGTTTTTAGTTCCTACAAAAATTCGAAACAAAAGTATTTCGGGAGAAAAAAAATTGATTATTTTCAATTGAGACTTCTATGGAAGTTGCTTGCAGATTTCTGCTTTAAAAACAATGAAAGAGGTTGTTAGAATTAAACATATTTGAAGCTAGAAAACGACGATATCTTCCCCATTTTTGATCAGCTAAATATTTAAAGGGTATCGTTGTGAATTGGTCATGCCTATTTTTGAATGGGAAATTACAACACCTATCCCTTTAACATTGGCTTAGAGAAACTTATTTATAAAGTATATGTAATTTTTAGATAATTAAATGCATTGTACATGATTGATAGTCATTAAGAAACTTATTTATTTAAAATTAATATTTAGAAAACTCTGATGGGTATCCCGTCTGTTGGAAGGGTTGGAGAGGAGAGGAGAATAAAAGAGATCCAGGACAAGGTTTCAGGATTAGATGAATCCATGGAGAAGATAATAAATGCTCAGGTTGGTTTCATGAAGGGAGTAAGGGAAGACATGAATCAGGTTTCACTCGTTATATACTTAAAACAGAATAAATTAGCTTATTCACACAAACGTCTGAGATTTCAAGGATTATTGATTCAGATTTTTCCGGCTTAATTCCAAAAAAAGAAAGACTGAGAACTGAGTTTTTGTTACAAGCTCAAATTTTTAATCCCTATATGTTTGCAACCTAATGTCGTAGGCTCGTAACCCATTATCATTTCAAACAGTGAATTGTGTTTGATCTAATAATCTAAGTTTGAAATATCAACACCTTCAGATTTTGCAACCTTTGTGGTAATGTAAAATACTGACATAAAATCTCATTTACATATTTTTCATATTTATTCTGATATTACTTTCATTACCTTGTCTTTGAAATATCAAAGGTTTATACCATCAGGTTGCAAAGATATATGGATAAGAAAATTTTAGTTTGGGACAAAGACTCAATCCTTTGAACCAAAATAATGAGCTCAGAATTCTAAATTCAGTTTTACGGGAAACATTAAAGTAAAAGCATTTCTCAACCAAATATTTTCTATTTTCTCCTAATGCTTGTATACTGTAGGGTTGGTATGAGAAAAGGATAAACCTTCTCTCCTCTGAAGTGTGGAGTAAGCTGAACCTGGTTGAACTAAATATAAAAACATTATTGATCAAATCAACAAATCTAGAAACATGATGATTGTCAGAATAGATGGATGGCTTTATAAGTACTTAAAAATATATTTTCGCTGAATCAGCTTTTATGCCAATATTTATGTTTTGTTGCCAATATTTATGTTTGGTGGTTTTGATTTTATTGAAAAATAACAATATATAACCATATTAAATGTACTAGTGTTGCACACAAGAAATAAGATTTCAAAGACGCCTGTTCACACGTATTTCTACACTTTGGCACACTCCATACCAGATTTCAAAGACGACTGTTCGGAATTCATGGTTCGCTAATGAATTACACGTATTTCTACAATTGTGCATACTACATACCAGGTTTTAAAGACGACTGTTTGGAATTCATGGTTCGGTATTGAATTATAAGTATTTCTACACTTTGGCATACTACATACCAGGTTTTAAAGACGAATGTTCGGAATTCATGGTTCGCTACTGCAGTACACGTATTTCTACACTTTGGCACACTCCTTGCCAGATTTCAAAGATGACTGTTCGGAATTCATGGTTCGCTACTGCAGTACACGTATTTCTTCACTTTGGCACACTCCTTACCAGATTTCAAAGATGACTGTTCGGAATTCATGGTTCGCTACTGCAGTACACGTATTTCTACACTTTGGCACACTCCTTACCAGGTTTCAAAGACGACTGTTCGGAATTCATGGTTTGCAACTGCAGTACACGTATTTCTACACTTTGGCACAATCCTTACCAGCATTATCTAGATCTAAAGAATCAGTTTTGTCAATTACCACTATTAACCTGTAAATCAGGTCGTCATCGTAGTTTAGCAGTTTCTTTGGATTAAAAGTCGTTGCTCCATTCGCCAATATTTTGGGTCCATTGTAAAAGGGGTTTAAGGCATTATTTGAATATCTATATGTATTGCAGATTTCTGTATATTTTAAAGATATATCTGTTGCAACAATTAAAAATTACAAAACCATTATCTGTAGCAACATTTTTAAGAAAAGAAAAAGTTTTCTGTTATTTTCTAACTGTACATCAAGCTGGTTTGAGTTGTGATAGAAAAAAGTTTTTTTTTTCAAATGTTGAATACTTAATAACTTATCCATGAATATATCAAACAGTTCCAACGTGCAGTATGTATTTGCTTTAAATGAAATAAATTTTATGAGATGAAGATCAGTTTTTCTTCAAAAAGTTTAATTTTAATTTTAAATAACTCGACCATAAACTATAAAAGAAACATTTTTGAAATATGTCACAATTTATTTTGGGAAGATAATATATTGGTAAAGAACAGAAATCAAACAAATAAAATAGTAATAATTTTTGTTTGAAGTAATTCATGAGAAAACACTCTTTTTCAGTTCGTTAAAGACGGATACTTAATTAAAGTTTTGATAAAGAAGAAAGAACATGTTTTTAGTTGTATTTCAGCCTCATGAGTCATAACAACCAGCCAGGGTCAAACTTTTGTGTTTCATTTCAGACATTGCCTAAGAATTCTAGGCTAAACCAGATTTAAGACGTAAAAGTTTCGACATGAGGTTGCTCTTAATCACAAGTTTGGAATTTTATGTGATTTGAAATAATTGAAAGGCGGATGTGACGTACGTAAATATTCAATTTAATTTAACATTAAATTAAAATTTGTCCATTCAAAGAAAATATGAGATATGTATGAAAAATCTTGAAAATTTAATATAATTATTATTATTAATTTTGTATATCTTTATGTCATTGTAATAGAAATTTTAGGTCTGAAAAAGTTTTTGTCGGGTTTTTTATTTTAGTTTATTTGAGGTCAAAATTAAAATATTTTCACACCAAACGTGAGTTATGAAAATATTCTAATTTTGATCGATAACAAACTAGAAAAAGTTAAAATCATAGGAAAACTTTTTTCGCACGATAACCATAAGAAAATAAACATGTATATTTGTATCGCCCTACAACGGGAAATATTAGGTGTGATAAATTCGCTTAAAAGGAATTGAGTTTTTGCCACAAACTCAAATCTTCTGATCTCAATATCTTAGCAACCTGGTGGTGCAAACCTTTGATATTTCAAACTTAGATTATTTTATCTATAAGTATTTACAGTTTGAAATATATTTGGGTTACAAAGATATAGAGATTTGAAAATCAGAGTTTGTGGCAAAAACTAAACTTCTTTAATAAAGTACATAACATATTGTACTTTATTAAAGTTAAGAAAAGATGGTATAGATATTACCATTGAAAATAACAGTAAAAATTAGCTGTTCATTAACGGTTTAATTTGTTCTCTGTTAAAGCCTGTGTAAGCCCTAATTTAGCACATTTAGAGAATACAATTTTGCAACATGGTAAATTTCGTAGATTTCTATGGATACAGCTGAAAGCTAAAAGCTGGAAAAGGGATCTATAAGGGATTGCTCAGTGCACGACTACAGTTTTACTGGATCCATGGCTAGATTACAATGGATCCATGGCTAGATTACAATGGATCACCAATTTGGGTCCTTTAACATAAGTTTATTTATTAAAAAAGGACTCGACATACATGAGGTAGGATACATGGTATTATGTTATGAGCAAGATTTTATTAGATGACTAGGAACTGATGTTACTGTAAACGCTGATCTTGAGTTCTCAAGTCTATAATCCACCAGGTTCCATCGTGTTCCTGAACAAGGATATTTAAACAGAGTGTTCCATCGTGTTCCTGAACAAGATTATTTAAATATAGTGTTTCATCGTGCTCCTGAACAAGATTATTTAAATAAAGTGTTCCATCGTGCTCCTGAACAAGATTATTTAAATAAAGTGTTCCATCGTGCTCCTGAACAAGATTATTTAAATAGAGTGTTCCATCGTGTTCCTGAACAAGGATATTAAAATAGAGTGTTCCATCGTGTTCCTGAACAAGGATATTAAAATAGAGTGTTCCATTGTGTTCTGAACAAGGATATTTAATCGGAGTGTTCCAATTTGTTCCTGAACAAGTATACTAAAATCGTGTTTTTACAGTATTTGAAGGTTCATAAGGTTTAGAGATGATGTCAGTGTAAATCCTAATCTATATGTTTCACTAGAAAACATGATAAAATTCCTTTTTTCAGATATTAAGAAAACGGAATTAAATGTGAGACTTTTCCAATAATAACATGCTTGATATTCTAAGAATAAATATATTGAGAAAGGAATAAGCTCTATTATACAAGTATAGAAGAGAGATAATAGGTTAATCACTCAATGATTTAGCCCTTGTATTATATCTGCTGATTATTCATCTTCTATAGACAATACAGGTTTGGTTTGGTTTTCTAGATATTAAGAGAAACGGTTTGTGAAGTACAATCTGTTATGGGATTTAAAAAGTGTCAACAATTTATAGAAGAGGTTTGTTATGAAGTTTTAGATAAAGAACTCGAGGAGTTGTAAATCAACTTTCGAAGAAAAAGATTTAAAAGTTTCGTAGGCTAGGCGCAGAGAAACAAGAAACAAGTTTTTAACTAGACCCTAAAAAAGAAATTTTAAATTTTAAATTTAAAACCTAAACTATTTCATAAAAATTAATGAAAATAAAATTACGCCTTTATCATTTTAATATATGGTCTGAAGTTTAGCTCCAAATATAGATTTTGCATTCCTGATTTATTTAAAAAATATTTTTCAATGGAGCTTTTTATGTTTGAAGAAACTAGTTTGGTTAATTTCTGAATATATAAAGGTGAAGAGAAGATTAATAGAAATACCACAAAACATATAGATTGTAATTCCTGTAATCCTGTAATCCTGTAATCCTTTAATCCTGTATATCCGCAGTTTTTAAAACCAACATCAGAACATGAATATATGTAGTCCTAGGCTCTTTTTCTAGTAGAGCTACGATATTTTTCCTAGTCGCATTTTTGCAAGCGTAATTTTGTTAAAATACACACTTAAAACGTTAATTTTGCTATATGACTCTTTTCTATGTATATATAAACAATCCCATCAAATATTTAGGATTAGATTCAAGGGCTAAGGCAATGGTATGGTACGGAGGGGGGGGNCCAGGATAAGTTAGGAGACCCAGCACTGCAGCCACGATAAGTTAGGGGACCCAGCACTGCGGCCAGGATAAGTTAGGGGGCCCAGCACTGCGGCCGGGATAAGTTAGGGGACCCAGCACTGTGACCAGGATAAGTTAGGGGACCCAGCACTGTGGCCAGGATAAGTTAGGAGACCCAGCACCGCGGCCAAGATAAGTTAGGATTCCCAGCACTGCGGCCACGATAAGTTAGGGGACCCAGTACTGTGACCAGGATAAGTTGGGAGACCCAGCACTGTGACTAGGATAAGTTAGGAGACCCAGCACTGTGACCAGGATAAATTAGGGGACCCAGCACTGCAGCCACGATAAGTTAGGGGACCCAGCACTGCGGCCAGGATAAGTTGGGAGACCCAGCACTGCGGCCAGGATAAGTTAGGGGACCCAGCACTGCGGCCGGGATAAGTTGGGAGACCCAGCACTGCGGCCAGGATAAGTTGGGAGACCCAGCACTGCGGCCAGGATAAGTTAGGGGACCCAGCACTGCGGCCGGGAAAAGTTAGGGGACCCAGCACTGCGGCCAGGATAAGTCAGGGAACCCAGCACTCCAGCCACGATAAGTTATGGGACCCAGCACTGTGACCAGGATAAGTAAGCGGACCCAGCACTGCGGCCAGGATAAGTTAGGAGACCCAGCACTGTGACCAGGATAAATTAGGGGACCCAGCACTGTGACCAGGATAAATTAGGAGACCCAGCACTGTGACCAGGATAAATTAGGAGACCCAGCACTGTGACCAGGATAAGTTAGGAGACCCAGCACTGCGGCCAGGATAAGTTAGGGGACCCAGCACTGCGGCCAGGACAGACTAGTGAAGTTTTAACCATAGAAAATGACATAAGTAAAAATGACGTATCGACTAAAAGCTAGAATACTAGATGGAGTGGATTGAAGCGCTCAAAACGCCGAGTAAATAGAGATATTCTAGAATGGAAAATTTAAAATCTAAAGATTTATTTCACCTTGCTCCCCTTGCTTCTTTTATTGTACATGCTGATCTTATGTCCCATATGTTTAGGGGTCTGTACATTAGTACAACTTCCCTTGTATAAATTGTCTAATCACCATTCTATTCTCCCTGTTGAAACCTTGTGTTTCAAGTTAGAACTCTAATATAAAAAATTAAAATGTGTCGCGTGAATAAAAAGTTTCTAAATAAAGAAATCTGGAACTTGGCCTAACTCATTTTAAAACAAGAAAGGAGCAGGGTTGCAGTAAGAATGCAGCAGGGAAGCAATAAGGTAACAGCAGCCTGAGAATCAGGGAAACAGCGGTGAAGAAGAAGGGAAGCAGCAGGTAAACAATAAGGTAACAGCAGCCTGAGAATCAGGGAAACAGCGGTGAAGAAGAAGGGAAGCAGCAGGAAAACAATAAGATAACAGCAGCCTGAGAATGGTGGACACAGCGGTGAAGAAGAAGGGAAGCAGCAAGAAAACAATAAGGTAACAGCAGCCTGAGAATCAGGGAAACAGCGGTGAAGAAGAAGGGAAGCAGCAGGAAAACAATAAGGTAACAGCAGTCTGAGAATCAGGGAAACAGCAGTGAAGAAGAAGGGAAGCAGCAGGTAAACAATAAGGCAACATCAGCCTAAGAATCAGGAAAACAGCGGTGAGGAAGAAGGGAAGCAGAAAGGAAATAGCAGCAAAACAGAAAGGAAATATCAGGGATACAAGGGAAGCTGCAGGAAAACAAAAGAGAAACAGCAAGGATACAGCAGGGAAACATGGAAAAGAAACAGAAAAAAAACATAATGAAACCCGCAGTAAACAGAAGCGAAACAGAAGATAAAACAGCAGGGAAGAAACAGCAGGGAAACAAAAGAGAAACTCCAGTAAACAGACGCGAAGCAGATGGAAAACAGCAGGGAAACAGAAGAAAAAAGAAGGGAAACAGAAGGGAAACAGCCGGGAAAAAATAGGTTAACAACAGATAAACAACAGGGAAACAGAATGAAAACTGTAGTATACAGAAGGGAAACAGCAGTGAAACAGAAGGGAAACAGCAGGGAAAAAGAAGGGAAAGAGAAAAGAAACAGCAGGGGGAGGAGGTAAAGCCTACAGGGGGAAAGGTACAGCCTACCGGGGGGGGAGAGTACAGCCTAAAGGGGGAGGGGGTTCAGCCTACAGAGGGGAGGGGGTACAGCTTACAGGGGAAAGGGGGTAATACCTAATACGATGTAACAAAAGAAGAAATAAAAAGCTCGGAGAAGTTTAGAATTATAAAAATATAAAAATATCTCGGATTAATATAATTTCTGATATGATCAAATATGTAATAAAACGGTTAATATGAAGATTGGAAGAGGAAAAAAGACTCACAAGAGGAAGCTTAAAGCCGGGATATAATTAAAGCCGGGATATAATTAAAATCGGGATATAATTAAAGCCGGGATATAATTAAAATCGGGATATAATTAAAGCCGGGATATAATTGAAATCGGGATATAATTAAAGCCGGGATACAATTAAAGCCGGGATATAATTAAAGCCGGGATATAATTAAAATCAGGATATAATAAAAATCAGGATATAATTAAAGCCGGGATATAATTAAAGCTGGGATATAATTAAAGCTGGGATATACAGATCAGCTGAAAGACAAATCTCAGAATATCTAGAATTGATTTAATATTTCATTTGACAGAAATAACCCATCATACTGATCATACCCATGTATTAACAATTACGCAAATGCAAAAATTCAATATAAATTGCAATATAATGACCAAAATTAGATTTTCGTTTTTCTAAATCTTTAAAATAAAAACTTGAAGAATATTTTTTTAAATACTAATATAAAAGAAAAAAGTACACATTATGGTAAAAAAAAAGTAAAAATCATTACGGCCGTTATTAAGCTGGGTTATGACTTTTTGCGTTTGTATAATGTCGTGAATTTATACAAACCGTTGAATTGTTGAATATTCTGCCAGCTGATTATAGTTGGAACACCCTCCACCAGGATCAGTTTATGTCCGTCTAAAGATATAATTCATCTATTCAAATCTATCATTTTAGAAATGGAAATTAAACTTTTTACTCTTTTTGAAACCTCGAAATCTAAAATAAATGAGTTTTAAAAGAGATTAAACAAATTTCTTGAAATTTTATCAATTTTATCATTTATGTTTTTTTTGGTTGCTTTGCAGTTGACGGGTAATTCTGGTAAGTTGCTGATATACAGAAAATAAAACTGATTATTCAGCTTATTAAGAAAATTATAAAACCTCCACTCTATCTTCTTCCTTGTAATTCTTGTAATTCTTGTAATTCTTGTAATTCTTGTCATTCTTGTAATTTTTGTCATTCTTGTAATTTTTGTCATTCTTAATATAATAAACTTGAATTACGCTGCAAAACTCTGAATGTGTTGTTGAAGAAATATATCAAAAATAATAGATATTGAAGACGACCAAAACCTCTTCAAATTTGATGATATGACGGGGAAATATTTTCTTCTACTTTATACTTACAAGGAACCCAGAACATAAGAAGAAAATTGAATAATAACGTCGCGGTAAAGTCTCATCTTTTGTGGGTTACCCTTTTTTGGATTCCTTTAAAGGGACTGTAACTGTAATTTCAATTGATCCTCCATTTTATATTAAAATGTACACCCTTGGGGAGGATATCTTCGTTTTTTCTAGCTTGAAAAGTGTTTAATTCTGAAAACTAATCCTATTGTTTTTATCAGCAAAATTGCGTAAGTCACTTTTACAGAGACCTTATTGGTTTTAAATCATTGAATTAAATTAAAATTATTAAATTAAAAAAAGAAGCAAGGACCGAACAGCATATTTTTTCTTGTTCAAACCGTTGACATGACATTCTATAAATAAAGGATCAATATAAAATATTTCTACTGTCCCTTTAAATATTCTTTTTATTTGTTTATTTATTGTTAATAAATGTATTAAACCTGTTCCGAAGGTTAGATCTTGCAGGTTTGACCAAATCCCAGTTTTTAGTTCCAGGAACCTGACTTTCCGTCCTAGAGGAATACTTTCAATATTTACAGATATATTATGTGACATGATCTTTATTAGATCAGCTCAGGTAGAAATATTATCAAAGATTCAGAGGGTTGTATACAGGAACATGTCCACGGAGGTTCACATTTTTTATACATATATTATGTTTTTATATTTTTATAGATATATAATGTGACGTGATCTTTATTAGATCTAGCTCAGGGTGCTCAGAGAGGAATATGTCCGCAGGGGTTCACATTTTTTATTCCAGGGGAGGGTTCTCCCAGCCAAGCCCCCTAGGCTGGAAATCATAGAAACTTTTCACCAAAGATTTCACTCTTACAATTTTATCTTACATCTTCTCTTACAATTTTATCTTACTTCTTTTCTTACAATTGTATCTTACTTCTTTTCTTAAAATTTTATCTTACTTCTTCTCTTACAATTTTATCTTACTTCTTCTCTTACAATTTTATCTTACTTCTTCTCTTACAATTTTATCTTACTTATTCTCTTACAATTTTATCTTACGTATTCTCTTACAATTTTATCTTACTTATTCTCTTACAATTTTATCTTACTAGCTTCTAGCTACTTTTATTCGATTTTTAAGAATGGATTTGAAAAACCTTGCCTGCGGCCAGTCAACATTTAGGCAAGTCTCTTTCAGGATGAAATTTAAAAGCAGGCATCATATTTTCTGGGTCATAATTTTTAAATAACGATTTTGCGAAAATAAAAAAAAACTGGCGGGCAATTTTGATTTGGACAAACCTTGTCGAGTTGGCATTGCAAAAAAGCGTTATAAAACTACCTTAGACTTGACTTTCAAGTCAGTTCATATGAATAAGTAATGAATGTTTTCTGTTTCCTAACTTAAGAATAAATTTGCATGATGTTGTGGAGAAGAGAACATTTTCGAATGCTATTCTAGAAATTACATAGTTCTGTATATTGTTCAATTCTAACCATACTTAAATATGCAAAACCAATTCCAAAATGTTATTATTAGACGCAGGATATAAAACAAAACTTGATCTTATTTTGAGAGAATTGTTGTTCTGCAGTTTTACTCACGATCTCAGAGATAAAAAGTTTGATATTTGATCTGCAACATATTTAACATTATATTCCGGTATAACTGACAAACTCACATTTTCTCATCCTTATATATCCGTTCACCTTGTAGGTGAACATCTTTGATATTATTTTTAAGCTTAGAATATTTGACCTTTCGGAACTCATTGTTTGAAATATCAAAGATCGGGTTGAAAATAAAATAAAAAATCAGAACTTGTGGCCAGGGGTGGATACAGGATTTAAGTGAGGGAGGAGCTAAATTTATTTATGAACCAAAAATAACTAGATTTAGGAACAAAAAGACGTGCCGCAGGCGAAAATATTTTTAAAGATAGATATTTTTCCTGTTTTGCACTAGGTTTTGTTACCCTTAAGTACTATTGATGAACTATTCTGAAATCTCATGGGGGTGCGAAGGTCCTACCGCCCCCCCCTGTCCACCCCCGCTTGTGGCAAAGAAGGTTTGTACAAAATAATGATTTTTCGAAAATCTTGAATTAAATAAATTATTTAAGCGGTCTCTGATATAAATTGATGCAACAAACCGACAAAAAGTTATGACAAAATAACTGAGAAAACCTGGTTCACCCAAATAGACAAAAACTAATGCAAACGAACCAACAAAAGCGCATCCAAACAAACCGACAAAAACTGATGCATCAAACCGACAAAAAGTGAAGACAAAAAAAACTGACAAAACCTTGTACACCCAAATAGACGAAAAATGATGCAAACAAACCGACAATAACTGATGCATCAAACCGACAAAAAGTGATGCAAACAAACCAAAAAAATCTAACTAAAAGTTTAAAAAAAGACAAATTCTATTTTGAAAACATCCTTCTCTATATAAAACTCAATCTTGTTTATGATGGCAGTTGGAAGGAAAAAGAGAAAGTCAACTGCAAATATAAAATTGGTATGCAATGACTTACACATTTTGTCAACCTCTTCGATAGGTTTTATTCTAAATGCAATTACTTTAATAACTAGTAAAGATGGAAAATAGAGATATATAAATAAAATGTATCTATAAATAAATAAATAAATAAATAAATGGTTAGGCTGGAGCCCTGGCTAGTGATATTTTAGTTCTAAATTATAAAATTAAAAATGTATTTACTGTGATGTTAGCCGAAATATATATCTATCATTTATCTATCCATATATAGAGAGACAGAGAAAAAATAACGTAATCATCTCATAGTTTATTTCGTTTTCTAGGAAAATTATTTGCAAATCTGAATATTTTATAATTTCAAATATTAAAGGGACTGTCTATACGTAAACTCAAGTGCCCTCCCCATATTTAAATATTAAAGGGACTGTCTTCGTAAACTCAAATGACCCCCCCCCATATTTAAAAAGTTACATTCCCGACTAACAACGGTTCCCATTAATCTTTTATAGAGTCAAATTTAGGCATATATTGTCGTTGTCGATATTGTCTGAAAAAGTGTTGAAATCTTACAATTCTTTTCTTCTGATACATGAATCCTCGAATCCTTTTTTAGAAAACCCCCAATAGGAAATAATTCACAAAAAAGGAAATTTTCATAAAGGGTACCGTTTGAATCGGACATGCGCCTGTTTTTATGGAGACTTAGGAGGTCAATTGAAATTACGTAGACGGTCCCTTTAAACAATGTAAAAGTAATGGATCTAACCTGTAAGTGCTCCGCCCGTAACCATTATCCCTTCCTTCCCGCCCACTTCGGTATGAAGACAAGCATGCCCGTAACTAGGTTCAGGCAGGTCGCTTCCTTTCTCCCACCTTCCTGTCTCCAGGTTCAAGATTTCTACAGAGGAGAGTGCATTCTCTCCGTCCCAACCTCCAATGACTATCAGGGAACTGGAGTTTACTACAAATATTGGAATTCGGTGGTTGGAATTAATGAAAGCGAGAATGAGTTTAACTAGGTATAGCTAGTATAACTACTTTTGAAGTTTTTTCTCGACGATACCTGGAGCTGCGCAGAAACTATATCTCGGAGTTTGAAGAGCTAACTCCTCCTTAACCTCCCACTCTCCAGTATCCAGATGATATATCTCTAGTGCACCCATCACTTCATCAATAGATCTACCTCCGAGAACAACCATCCGTCCTCCAACCTCCGCACTCGCAGCATGCTCACGTTCAAACTTGAAATATGTAGTTTGGTTGATTTTCAATAAAATATGTAGTTGATACGGAAACAAATACTATAATGCACGCACATCCGAGATGACGACTTCAAAATTTTAAAGTATCTATATCAGTTTCGGGATGTTTTCTAGCTCTCCGTGTACTTCATGTAACAAATTTTTTTCTTTAAGTACAAACTAAGGTAACCTTGTTCGATTTCATGTATCCTATTAAGGACCTGTAAACCTACAGTTTGGTTCCATGTATCCTATAAACTACCTGTAAACTTCCTGTTTGGTTTCATGTATCCTATCAACACCTGTAAACCTACAGTTTGGTTCCATGTATCCTATAAAATACCTGTAAACCTCCTGTTTGGTTCCATGTATTTTCTCTCAGGTTTAGTTTCCAGCAGAAGCTATGTCTACAGAATACAACCTGAATATTATTCAATATTTAGAAAATCTTACCACCCGAAATTAATTACAATAAAACAAGAGAAATTGTAATTATACTTGTTCTGAAACCTCATGTCGAAACTTTTGGTTGGAAAAGAGCGCTTAGCTATTCTGACTTAAACCGTAAAATAAAGGGATTTAAGTTTAAATCTGATGGTGGATAAACTAGATATCTACTAAGAGATAATGAGGAAATTATCTTAAAATGTATTGGTGCCGTCTAAGGTTGAACCGGGAAGGAACAGGCTATTGGCGGAATACAAACTAATCTAAAACGTTTTATCGGAAAACATTTTATTAATGAAAGTTAATGACAAAATAGATTAAGGTGATAATGTAGGACCAAATAAGCATATGAAAACCTACCGTTTGCTCCAGGTACTCAGCTATACCAGACACATCCCCTAGGTACCTGGATATCTGGGACGGAATATCACTAAAACAAAAAAGGTTCTGTTGGAGATTGATATTCTAATATTCGAATTCCTTTAACACAGTTTTCCAATTTATTCCTTGACACATATTTTTGTCAGCATTCCATGAATATTCTGTCAATTCATCCCTCTTTCATCCCCTCCTACCATCCTACCAACCCTCCATCCCTCCCCATCCCCCTCCTACCAACCCTTCAACCCTCACATCCCTCCCCCATCCCCCTCCTTACAAACCCTTCCACTCTCCATACCCATCCTACCATCCCTTCCACCCTATATCCCTCTCAGATCATAGAAATAAATGTCTCAACTTTGTTTCCAAGATTGTAAAGTATGGTATCTATTAGATATTTCTAATCCATGGACCTAGATGCTTCTCAGCCAAACTAAGAAGTTATCAGCTGACCCTAGTCTTGAATCCTATAAAATTACAGTTGCACCCAAAAAACGACGAAAATTACAACTAAATGTCTCACGATCTTATCTGATGATAGATAATTAGGACGCACATTGTCAGAGACGTCCACTGGTGGACCATTGTATTGTTCAGAAGAAACTTACTCAGGGATCGAAGTAGGAGGACGATCAATATCCTTATCCCTGATGGAATCTTTACAAAGGTTAAGGTAATAATTCTCCTAAGGAATTCAATATTGTGAAAGGAATAAGTTGGTGTAAAACTTACACCAGGAATAGATGAAGTTTTTCAAATATTGAAACCTGGAATATGGGAGAACCCGGAATCTTCTATATAGGAAAACCCGGAACTGCAATATACAGTAAGTGGAACATCGTATCTAGGAGAAACTACTGGAAGCAGGTATACAGTGGAACCTTCTATACAGGAGAACATGGAACCTAGTACACTGAAGAACCTGGAACCTACCATGCAGAAAACTCTGGACCTTTGTATTTAGAAGAACAACCTGAGCCTGGTATTTGGGAAAACATGGAACCTTGTATGCACGAGGACCTGGAATCTGGTATACAGGAGATCATGTTACCTGGTATCCAGGTAAATCTGGAACCTAGTATTCAGGAGAACCTTAAACATTCTAGTCAGGAAAACCCGGAACCTGGTGTGCACTAACTGGAACCTTGTATCTAGAAAAAACTGGAAGCTGGTATATAGGAGAATCTGGAACTTGGTATAAAGGAGAACTTGGTATACATTAGAACCTGGAACCTGGTATACAATAGAACCTGAAACCTGGTATACAATAGAACCTGAAATCTGGTATACTATAAAACCTAGAACCTGGTATACAGGGGAACTAGGAACCTGGTATATAGGAGATCTAAGTACCTGGTATATAGAAGAACCTGTAACCTGTAATATAGGAGAATATGGAACCTGGTATACAGGAGAACCTGGAACCTGGTATGCAGGAGAACCTAGAACCTGTTATACAATAGAACCTATAAGAACCTTGTATACAGGGAAACTAGGAACCCAGTATAAAGAAAAACATGGCATTTTGAACACCCTGGAAAAAACCTTAAATTTAGAAGAACATAAAACTTAGTTTACATGAGAATCAACAATTATAGAACAAAGAACAAATACAATTTTATTAGAAACAAGATTGGCTATCGCAAAAATCTTTATGATTTTGCTTCAACTGTTTAAATTTAAGATTCTCCAACCGAATCTTTAATAAACTAAATTAAAATTGCTCTATTATTCAAAATAAACCAAGGATCGTTATCAAAATCAACATTTTCTATGCATATAAAGTAGTGATCTCTACTGTCTGTCTGTCTGTCTGTCTGTTGTATGTCTGTCTGTTGTATGTCTGATCATAAAACATGAAACCACGTTCTTAGCTTGGTTAAAAAATTCTAATTTGAATGGGCTGATTTTTTTAGAGAAAGTTTAGTTTCCAGGCAAAGCTGGATTCCCAAGCTGTGGAATATAAAATCCAAATATATCCGGGTTGAAAATAAAANTCCTATCTAACTACTCCGCTGTATTCAGTATACTACTCCTATCTAACTACTCCGCTGTTTACAGTATACTACTCCTATCTAACTACTCCACTGTACACAGTATACTACTCCTACCTAACTACTCCACTGTATACAGTATACTACTCCTATCTAGCTACTCCGCTGTTTACAGTATACTACTCCTATCTAACTACTCCACTGTATTCAGTATACTACTCCTATCTAACTACTCCACTGTATACAGTATACTACTCCTACCTAACTACTCCACTGTACACAGTATACTACTCCTACCTAACTACTCCACCGTTGCAGGATACTACTCCTACCTAACTACTTCACTGTATTCAGTATACTACTCCTTCCTAACTACTCCATTGTATACAGTATACTACTCCTACCCAGCTACTTCACTGCATACTGGATACTAATCCTACCTAACTACTCCACTACAGACTCCAGTGTGTGAAAGTATCTCTACTCCTTGTAGTTCTGAATACCCTGGTCCATATCCACCCAGCACCATCCCGTATCTATATTCAGAACTTAACTTTAATTAAGAAAATATAAAGGTTGTATAATAAGGTTGGTAACTCTCGAGTCTCGATGCACTCCAATGTACGAAAAATGTCGTCTCCTGAGATAGATAGATCGATAAAAACCTAATATGACGTCGTCACTCTCGCCTCAATAATCAGTGATGTCATATTAGGTTTTAATCTATCTATCCTAGGAGATGACATATTTTGTACATTGAAGCGCATGGAGAGTAATTCCAAGCTTATTATACAACCTTGGAAAATATTCTGCACGGAGGGGCACCCCCCTGAAAACATTAGCCTTTATTGTAGAGAATAATTTGAATAAAAATTCATATAATTGTCATCCTTTAAGAATCTAATTAGGTTTATATCTCTAAAGAGAGTAATTAGCCCAGTCTATTTAATTGAAGGGACTATGTATGGCATTCACCAGTTTAATCCTCAAATACTAAACACAAGTTTTACAACGTAACCTGAGGGAAAACCTATGATTCAAATCAAAAATAGTTAATGTAAATATTTTAAGAACAGCTGATTTTTTAATTTTTCAAATACTTAAAAAATATTTGGTGGAACTAAGTGAAAGTTCTGAAAAATGCATCTCTTTTCATAGAAATTGAATCTTTGCAACAATTTTCTAATCCTTATGCAGACCTTAAATATCTCAAGCTATGAATTCTTTAGATTAAATAATCTAAGTTTTAAATATCAAATATATACACCATCAAATTGCAAATATATAGGGGTTAGAAAAGTTGAGTTTGTAGTAAAGACTTATGTTCATTGTTCAAGGGTATTTTAAAGTTAAGGTTTCCTTGAGCTCAGGGTCTGTACTATAGTAGTAACCGACTCTGATTCCTTCGGTAGAATGAGAAGAACCAGGAGAACTTGGATAACACCAGAACTAATCCTAACGTCAACAATCATTTAAAAAATCTGAAAGAATACAGTATATAAAAAATCTGAAAAAGTACAGCATATAAAAAATCTGAAAAAGTACAGTATATTAAAAATCTGAAAGAATACAGTATATTAAAAATCTACAAGAATACATTATATTAAAAATCTACAAGAATACAGTATATAAAAAAAAACATTTGAAAAGCATGAGTTTATTTTTTAAGCCATTTTGATTTTTCAGATATTTTGTTTTAACATTTATTTTGAGAACTATAAATGAGAGTTAAGACCGAAAGAATTGATACCTACAGCTTTTCTCAAATATCTGAACAATCTTTTAACGCATCGCTCAAATGTACCAGAAAACATTGTATTTTACATTTAATTAATTTAAAATCTTTTTGCAAATATCAAAAACAAATATAAATATGTTCAAATATTAAATTTGAAATAAGAGGTTTGGTGCAAAACTAGAAACTAGAAACTGCAACAGTAATATTATATTTCAAATCTTAAAGTTAAAAATTTAAAAATGGAAGGATAGTTGTTTGTATGAAGGATGCAAAATTATGATGATATTTTAAATAAATATGTTCAGAAAAGTTTAAAAAAGTATATTTACAAATATTACAGGAGGGACCAAATATAGTAAATAGTGGGAAGTAGTTGAACTGAGTAGAAAAGTTTAACCTCTTGTGCGCCGATTCAAGTTTAAAGATGTGGTTAAACTTAGTCTACACAGTTCAACTACTTCTTGCTATTCATAAAATCTGGTTCCAATGGTCACATTGTCACTTCTAGATTTAATTAAAAACAAAGGGAGTGTCAAATAGTTTCAAGTGTCCTCCATGAACAGATTTGCATTCGGTTGCATTTTAAACCTTTTATCAGAGAAACAATGAAGAAGTTATCGTAGTTTTAGAACAGTAGTAATATTCTGACAATTTTATTTTTTTTTGTCCCTGCTGCAAAAATCCGCAAGTCGCTTTTACAGAGATACCACTAGCGGAATTTGTCAACTTTTAGTTAGAAAAACAAGGTTTGTAGGGTAGAAAGTGGGCCGGTCACTTGAAATTACGTCGACAGTCCCTTGAATGACCGGCCGGCTCGGTCGCGGTGTTTTATGACACATACTTGATGTACCTTTTCACCCGTGGGGAAAATAGTTGTATTTTCCCCAGAACTATCTAATTATTGAGAAATCAAGAAAGCAGGACCTTCTAACTATAAGAATTCATGATAATAATGTAATAACGTCGTCTTTATAACATTTAAAATGTTGTTCTTTTCTCTATAGCACAATCACTGAACTCTCCAACAATGATGGAGTTTAAAAAGTTTAATAGCTCGAGAAGATGTAATATCTTGAGAAAGTTTGTCTCTGAGTGAGATTATAAAATGAACTGCAGTGTTTATTAAATGGTTAGATTAGTCTAGTCGGCGTCCTTCATACCTAAACTAGATATCCTTGGTATACTCTCCTTTCATGCAATACAGTCAACATACAAGGATACCAGTTAAGGATGTTTTAAATGACGACATAAAACTTGTCGAATTCTTAGATTTGAATAGTGTGACAAAGGAATTGAATAAGTTTACAACGCAGCAAAGCATGATTTGTATAGAAATAAAATTGAATAACTCTGTATACATATATTAGTCTGTTATTGAATAGTCATCTTTTGTGAGGTTCCTCCTATAATAATTTTATTTATTCACTAGCTTGGGAACCCAGCTTAGCCTGGAAACTGAACTTTCTTTAAAATAATCAACCCACTCAATTTAGAATCGTTTAAACCAAGCTAAGAGCTGAGTTATGACCGGACATCCAAACAGAGATTAGTACTTGATTTTTCTTTCAGGTTCTTCAGGTTCTTTTTTATTACATTTTTTTCCTCTCATTCATGTTCTCTTTCATCTTTATATGCTCTACACATTAAGGTTCTCGTTTATTATTCAGCTCTCTTATAATAATGTTCTCTCTACTCATTAAGGTTCTCGTTTATCATTCAGCTCTCTTATAATAATGTTCTCTCTACTCATTAAGGTTCTCGTATATCAATAAGCTCTCTTATAATAATGTTCTCTCTACACATCAAAGTTCTCGTATATCACTAAGCTCTCTTATAATAATGTTGTCTCTTCACATTAAGGTTCTCGTTTATCATTAAGCTCTCTTTTAATAATGTTCTCTCTACACATTAAGGTTCTCGTATATCACTAAGCTCTCTTATAATAATGTTGTCTCTTCACATTAAGGTTCTCGTATATCACTAAGCTCTCTTATAATAATGTTCTCTCTACACATTAAGATTCTCGTATATCACTAAGGTCTCTTATAATAATGTTCTCTCTACACATTAAATCTTCTCTTCAAAGTTGTCTCTCTTGATCATTCAAAATATCCCTCTCCAATTAGGTTTTCTCTTCTCATAAGGATTATCTCTCTCCATACAGGTTCTATCTTCTCTTCAAAGTTATCTCTCTCCATTAAGATTATCCCTCTCCAATTAGGTTCTCTCTTCTCTGCAAAGTTATCTCTCCCAATAAAGGTTCTCTCTCCTCATAAAGGTTCTCTCTCCTTATAAAGATAAATTCTCTCAATACAGTTTCTTTCTCTTCATTAAGATTATCTCTCTCCATTAAGGTTCTATCTTTTCTACAAAGTTATCTCTCTCCATTAAGAATATCCCTCTCCAATTAGGTTTTATAATCTCATTAAGATTATCTCTCTCCTTTAAGGTTCTATCTTCTCTTCAAAGTTATCTCTCTCCATTCAGAATATCCCTCTCCAATTAGGTTTTCTCTTCTCTACAAAGTTATCTCTCCCAATACAGGTTCTCTCTCCTTACCAAGATTATCTCTCTCCATACAGGTTCTTTCTCCTTATCAAGATTATCTCTCCCAATAAAGGTTCTTCTTTCTCCTTATCAAGAATATCTCTCCCAATAAAGGTTCTCTCTCCTTATAAAGATAAACTCTCTCAATACAGCTTCTTTCTCTTCATTAAGATTATCTCTCTCCATTAAGGTTTTCTCATCTCATTAAGATTATCTATCTCCATTAAGGTTCTATCTTCTCTTCAAAGTTATCTCTCTCCATTAAGAATATCCCTCTCCAATTAGGTTTTCTCATCTCATTAAGATTATCTCTCTCCTTTAAGGTATTCTCTTCTCTTCAAAGTTATCTCTCCTTATCAAGATAATCTCTCCCAATAAAGGTTCTCCATCCTTATTTGAGATTACCTCTCCACAAAAAGGTTCTTCCTTGCTACGCTTCGGTCCTCTTTGAGAGTGTGTCCTCATCTGTTGAGGGCATTTCTCCTTATTGATTGAGAATCTCTCTCCTTGTTAAGACTCTCTATACTTATGAAGGTTCTACTAGAGAGGCCACAATTAAAAATATTCAGTTTAAAAACAACAACATTGAAATCTGGTTCATAATTGAATAGATGAAGCTTTAAAGAATATCGTTGTGATTCGGGCATTGCCATTTTGGCCTAGAGGCTCACTTAACATTTCTGTTCTATTGTTGATATCCAAATACCCACTCTTGTATGCCGAGTCCATTAGCGCCTGATCCAATGGGTTCAGCCCAGGGAACAGGAATAAAGGGAAAGGAAATGGCGCTGGTCCGGCAAGAGAAAGATCTCCAATTAGGTTTTCTCATCTCATTAAGATTATCTCTCTCCTTTAAGGTTCTCTCTTCTCTGCAAAGTTATCTCTCCTTATCAAGATTATCTCTCACAATAAAGGTTCTCTCTCCTTATCAAGATTATATCTCCCAATAAAGGTTCTCTCTCCTCATAAAGATTATCTCTCCTTATCAAGATTATCTCTCCCTATAAAGGTTCTCTCTCCTCATAAAGATTATCTCTCCCAATAAAGGTTCTCTCTCCTTATCAAGATTATCTCTCCCAATAAAGGTTCTCTCTCCTTATCAAGATTATTATTATTATTATTATTAGAAATATTCAGTTTAAAAAACAACAACATTGAAATCTGGTTAATAATTGAGTAGACAAAGCTTTAAAGAATATCAGGCATTGCCATCTTGGCCTATAGGGTCACTTAACATTTCTGTTCAATTGTTGATATCCAAATACCCACTCTAGTATGCCGAGTCCATTAGCGCCTGATCCAATCAGGGTTCAGCCATGTGTTTGGTGTCTATTCTGAACCAATAGAAATTGCATGGCGGTAACATCTATCTTTCTATCAATCTCATTATCCAGTTAGAGATAAATCCTTATATCGGCGCTATAACATTAAATGCAAATATTTACTTTTACTGAAACTATTGTACCTAAAATCCTTTACAACGAATTTTTAAAAATTTTGATTTTATCATGTTTTAAAATTTACTCATTTAACTATGTTTATTGCACACATAATTAGCATAGAATATATAGCATAACACATTATACATAGTAGATTTTTAGTAAAATATATTTAGACAATTAAAAAAAATTGCCAGAGTATTTGATTTAAATCAGTCAAATAAAAACGGACGGGTAATTATGAATTAGCAAATTTACAGAAAAAAAATGCAAACTGTATTAACAAGTAAATAATACATGACAAAATTAACAAAAAATTGACTTAAAGATCTAAATTAAATGGACTTGAATCTTTGCCTTGTATGCATAAAAATATCCAAAATAAACTTGACAATTTAACCAAGTTGAAACCATTTTAAACAAGAATACTTCATACATGACATATAGATCCTTTCTCCGGGTAGAATACAGATCTGACAAGAATAAGAAGGAGATATATTCTACATTATATTCCTCTTACTCAAATTTAGAACGGGGGGCTCTCCATTAAGGT